AAACAGCCTAAGTGCCTAAGGACAGGTGAGTGGATTGAGAAGATGTAGCATATACACAATGGCATGATGCTCGGTTATTAAAAAAAAAAACAAAAAAACAGGTGAAATCCTACCTTTGCAACAACATGGAGAGGACTGGAGAGGGTTTTCTTAAACAAAATAAGTCATAAATAGAAAAACAAATACCAGATGATTTCACTCACATATAAAATATAAAAGATCAAAGCAAAGGAACAGATAAAAAGAAACCCTAGAAAACTGAATAGAACTGAGGCTACCACAAGACTCAAAGCGGGAGGGTGCTCAGTGGACTATGGTGAAGATTTGGGTGAGCACAAGGTAAGAACATGCATTTGCAGAGTTGTGAACATAGCTATAACCCTGATCCATATATGGTGTTGATGCCGGAATTGTCAGGCCTAGTCTCCCAGCCAGGATCGGATTTCAGGCTGCAGGGCAGCAGGGCAGCGCTGAGCCCCAGCCGCTAGACCCCCCACGGGTTGGTGTCTCACGAAGCCCCAGCAGGAACTTCGCAGACGCTCAGGCAAGCAAGCGAGAAGCGCAGGTTTGTTTAGAAGAAGAAAAAGTTTATTGAGGAGAAAAAAGAACAGAAATAAAGTGGGACTCCCAGGCCAGGGAACCAGGCCTGGGAGGGGCAAGGAAGCCAAAGTGAAGTCGTGTCTCAGGGAATATAGACTTTCTTTCCCTGATTATTCTAAAGCTCTACCAGTCTCTTTGTGATTGGTCAGTTTTTGGCTCTCTTACTTAATTTGCTACTGAGTGGGGGATCTTCACATTCCTTATCTAACAGGTCTGTCTTTCCCCATTTGTTATACCTTTATTTTTATGGTCTAGCCCTCCCGGTGAGCATCTTTACACTTTATCTTATCATCTGAAGAAAACCAGGACCATCCTTAACAAGATTATCTGTGGTGCTGGGATGTTTGTTTTTCCCAGTGGAATTGGTTTCATTTCCTTGCTCGTCCTTATCTCTGAAGCCTTCCTGAATTCTTTAAAGGTCCCCTCCTGCACTGTCCTAAAACTGTCTAATAACCCTAGCTTGCCCTGTCTCATTCCCCCCTTTTACAAATGGAGCCCTAACTGCAGTTAGGGAAAAGGGACGTAGGTCTGATCAATGACTGCTTTCTGCTGAGAGTGGGCGACGTGGGGAGACAGTTAGGGTTCCACAGTAGGATGACGATTTAAGGGACCCCGGAAGATGGACCGTGGAGACGTCATTTTGGGTTTTATTTGAAGGATCATTTGGAGCTTGATGGCCTCCAGGCGAGCGGAGATGATTCCGAGGAGAGTATTAAGGATGCAGGGCCCAAACAAAAGAACAATAAAGAGAATTAGTAAGGGAACGAGAAAAGGCAGTAGCCAGGACAGAAGTTGTCCTTTTATAGAAGCAAAGATTGCTTGTGTCCAGCTAAGCCCTTGCCCTGTCTGTCTTTTGAGATCATCCACAATTTGTATATATATATTTTTTTTAGTATTTTTAAATTTTTTTTTTACCTGATGAGAAGTATTTATTTAAAAGCATCATGTTTCATTTAAGAGGGCACAAACTCCTTTAACTTTAGCCATCGGCAGGTCTAGGGTTCTGAGATTTTATATTACCACTAAGACTAGGGATTTTAAGGAGTAATGTTGGGCTAGTGCCCCAAACACCCGGAGGTGTTGTAGCCAAAATGACAGAATTAGTGAGACCTAGGACTTCAGTACCATTTTATATTTAGTAGTAGCAGCTAGGAGAGCCAATAGTGGCTGTGGAGGCTGCTAGTTTGGAATTTAGTTACAATTTTTTCCATCTTAATAGTTAGGAAAACAAAACTAAAAATGTATAAACAAGTAGCCTTGTAGCCAGCAAGGTAGCAGTGCTATAACGTATCCTGGCTCAGGCTGGCCATCTGTACTAGTGAGGGGGACAATTGACCAGTAGGTCAGTCCAAAGAATTGGAGTAAGACAGAGTAAGCGGCCCCTTAATTACCAAAAAGGTGATTTTTATGTCTGCCACCCTTAGAGTCACCCGAGGCTTGTCCATATAAACAGTAAACAGGGGAGTCTCTCTCATCTCTGGGCTTCTTCAGAGAAGATCTTCACATGCACCGGGTTTTTCATAGCCAGAGGCAGCTGACGGTCAAGTCTGTCCTCCCATCCTGGCCCCTCTCTCTCTGGAGAGTGGAACAGTCCCTTTTTAGTGCCCTATGTGATGGCACAGAAGGCATGGCCCTGGGGACAGCTTTTTGCAGCTGAGATGTCCTGGTTGCAGGCAGTGGAAGCAAGCTGGCAGCCCATTAAGAGGTTGAGGTCCCAAATGCCCTAGGGCACATGGGGCCTTGGGTGAGTCTGAGGTGGCAGGGTACTAGCAATGGCAACTGCCATTTACTGGCCCTTCTCTTGCCTTCCTCCCTTTCTTTTTAGACTAGTTAGTTCCCTCCATATTACTATAGGCTTTGAAGGCCTTGTTCAAAAGTGTTAAAAGGATTTTAGGCCCTTGACTTAGTCTCTGAAGTTTACACCTGATGTCAGAACAAGGCTGACTAATGAAGGAGACCGAGACCGTTAAATTGTTCGTCCTTTTTAGGGTTTAGATTAGTATACCTTTTTATAGCCTCAGTAAATTTAGCCTGAAATGACTGGCTTATTAGGTTTTAAGAAGTCTTATGTATTTTAGAATATTTTATTTGTGTACATTTATGTTGAAGAGGTGAAACAATTTTATGAGAATACTGTCTATGAGGTATCAATATACCCAAATTGACTTAGCTTGTTTTTACAACAAGAAACAATTTTATGTATCAAAATAACTAAAGCCTGGTGCCACACAAGTGCACAACTGACATTTAAGTTAACCAAAATATTTCATGACAGGTCACTTGAGAACACAAAAATTTTCTGTCAAAAATCCCTCACTCAGACCTTCAACACTTTCCTTTGCCTTTTTTTTTCTTTCTTTTAAAACACAAACACACCTCACTTTACTTACATTCAGAATCATCACACCCCAGTCTCCAATTTTTGTATTGCAAGACACCACAATAGTCATCACACCATCATTTTTCTAGACCATATAACCCACAGACACACTTTTTCAAATTTTTGTGTTGTTGTTGTTGAGATGACATTAAACTTTAGTTTCCTTACAATAAGGAGCAAAATGTAAACCTGAAATTTCAGAGAATGGTTAACAAATTTTATTACTCAACTTAGCAAAAACCTTAGTTTAGCTTTAGTTTTTTTTCTTAGAACTGGAATTTTAAGTCAGAGTTGCCACTGTAACAATTTTATATACCAAGTTTTCTTATGCAAGTACTAGATAGGTTGACAAAAGCAAGAAAAAAAAACTAGACACTTAATACCATAAACATTTTTCAGTAACTTGTCTATATGGCTTTAGATGTTACCTTGAATTCTGTAAAGAAATATAGTCATTTACTGGGAGAATATATTGTTTTCTCCAAGGGGAAAAGACAAGTACATTAGTCTTTCTGGAACAAGATCTTATCAAGAGAAGTTTAGATAAAAGTCTAGAAGTAAGTTTGTTTGCGTAGGCCAGGTTAATTATTAGTTCCTTTGTATAGCATGAGTAAACACATTTAATCAACAGTAAAGTATTAATACCCAACATTGAAACCTTAAGGCATGATGTTTTTTTAAACCATTAAATTTTGAATTAGTTTTTTTTTTAACCACAATTTTAGATCGCGATCTCAAAATTTAGGATTTTATGTATATATATAGGCGTCATTTAAAATTAATCCTCCGGAGGTAAAAAGCAAGAACAAAGAGATTTCTTGATTTTCATTTAAAATTTTTGGCCATGTGCACTTAATTTTAAGATAGTTATTTTTACCAATATTTGCAAAGACACTGAGAAACTACAGTTTAGTAAACTCCCCTTCTTTAGTGACAATTTTTTGTTTGACACATTCATTTAACCAAGTTTTTAATATCCTTTTTATATCAAGCAGGTTTTTAATGACATAGAAGTTAGAATTTTACATAGAACAAGTACCCAATTTTAACCCTTACTTAAAATCTAGGGTCCAACCAAAACCACAACAATTTCAAAGTTAAGCAATTTGTACTAACTTTCTTAGACAAGAAAAACATTTTAAGTTTGTATTTTTAAGTATTATTAATTGGCTTTACATTGTTTTAGTTTTGTCACACTGAGACCAAGCACATTTTTAAGACAGAAGACATTTTTTTTTTTTTAGAACCATGTATGGAGAGGACAGGAGAAGAGGAAGAATAAGATTTTTCTTGTACAGTTCGCCTGTTTTTTTTTTAACTCTTATCAGAAATTAGTTAGTCTTAATAAGAAACTAAACTTTTACAGGTCCAATAAGCAGTTTAGAAATTGTCACTTAACCAAAAATCACCTTATATGGCTCGTTAGCAAGTCCAAAGTAACTCAGTAGTTTTTACCTTTAACATTTTAGACTTTAAAATCAGAAAAACACAGGGAAATAGAACTTTTTCCCTAGCATGAACCAAAACAGTTTTTTTTTTAAGGTGGACAAAGGGAGAGTCTAGTTCCCCCACAACTGGAAGGCAGCAGAGACATACCAATAATCTCAATACTGGAAAAAAATAATCCAGGCAGCTGCTTATTGAGAGCAGAGGCAGTCTTTTTTACCAGCCAACTATAGTGGACCCCTTTACTTATTAGTCCCCAGCATTTTGTCTTTTTGTTTTGACTGTGACCAAGGAGGGTTAGCTGGAGAAGATGCCATTTATGGCCAAATTGGGCTAGTTTTTTTTTTTATTTAAAAATGTGGCTTAAGGCCATGTCCCATAGAATTGAGATAGAGTATCTTATGGTCTCTGTAGCAAGAAAAGAAAATAGCAGCGCAGAGACAAAGCAGGGACATTTCTGCAGTTAAGTCAGAGGTCGTCCCATCTGACCAGGACCATATATTATGGCCTCTCGACTGGCTCTCAGCTTTAGGAGGCCAGGAGAGATGTCGAGACTTGGGTCTAAGTGACTTACTAAGAGAAGCAACAGGTGAGATAGGAGCCAATTACTCCTGAAAATTGGTCTCAATTCTAAGATGCAGGAGAGACGCGTGTCTCCTTTGCAAGGCTGACGAGGAGGCTCCCATCTGCAAAAAGGAATGAAAGGAGGAATCCAACATCTGCTTCTTTCCCCTTCTATCTATAGGAGAAAACCTATAGACAGGTTAAATTACCGGAGGCGTCCCTCCATTTAAACCCGGAGCTCTAACTGTGAGTGATCAACAGTTTCCTCGCATAGGGTCTACTGGACTTAATCACTCCCTTACCAGCGTGACCAATTTGATCTTGGCACTGTCTGTCTCCCACCGAACAGACAGGCGTGGGATACCGGACTTTGTGGGACCCTACTGGCGTCCCCAATCCAGTCCTTGTACAAAGGGCACCTATTTTAAGCTTCTAGAGAGCTTAAGCCATTCTCCTCATCTGATGAGAGAGACCCTGAAAACACCTGAACAGTAGAGACTTAACACAAGCCACAGACCAAGTCCTGCGACCTAACTTTTAATGGTGTCCATTTGCCAGACAACAAAACTGATTCCTTTTTCTTAAGCCATAGCCCTTGAAGCAGCAGTAGCCCAGAACCTGATATTTACTTATTTAAAACTCCCTTTTGGAAAACTGCCATGAGACAAATTTATAATACCAAAGGTATAATTAATTAGCTGGACCTAGGATTTGAGGCAAACCTGTACATACATTCCTGTCATAGTATGAAACTCAGCCTCTCCTGCCTGTGCCAACCAGCAGGATTAAAAGCGACACCAGGGAAAAGGCTCCCAGAGGTGCCCCAAGATTTTTATAAGACCATTTTATACCTTATGTTTATAAGTTGCCTTGATAGAAACTGAAAGAAGTCCGTCCTATAGGGGAGGGATCAAGAAGGTGAAAGTCCCTTTTTTCTTTTTTTTTACTGTTTGGCCTCCGTGACTCTCGCCTAGGTGCCGTCCTAGCAGAACGTCTTGTCTGAGCCATCGGATCTCCTGGTGTCCAGGGTTCCAAGGGTCACAGCTTGGTCGTTCTGAGCACCCTCGGAGTCCACGGATGATAGAGGAAAGTAGGAATCAGTGACAAGAGAGCCCCGACATTCCCACTCAGCAAGTGGGGGATCAGGAAGCCTTGCCAGCTGAGAAACCTGTCACCCGAGACTTTAAGAATGGCGGCCTCACGCTAGTCGCTTTTACCGGGCCGACGGGTGCCCATTAATTTTTTTGCAATCAAATATAGGACAGAGAGAAAGCTTTTGAAATATCTACTGCCTGTTTGAAGCCCACAGGTAATCAAGAAGTAAATCAGTTGCATTGCAAGAGAAGGAAGAATGGAAAGAGAGAGAGAGAGCAAAGAAAGATAAGAGGAGCCATTCAAATAATCCTAGCAGGGATCTGAGGCCAGGGAAGGGTTCTGTGTCGGATCTGGTGTGGTGCTTAGTGAGGAATGACTTTCCCAATTGTCACATTGGGACCATTCATCCTCCACTGTGTCTCCGCAGCTCCCCCTCTGCTGAAGGCAAGGGAGGATGGCCGGAGCTGCTGGGAGATCAGCCCCTTATGTGCAGCTCCTGGATGGCCTCTACATGATGTATGTGCCTAGCTCTTCGGAGACCGGAGTCCCTCATACGACGACACCAGACTTTTATTCTTTGACTGGCAGATGGGCTAGTCCCCTTACCTGGTCTGGTCACCAGTTTATCCTTTCACAGGAGTTTTTAAGGCAGTCGCCCTTTGGCATTTACTGACTGTCCTGTGTCCTTTTTATGGCCTCTTTGATGGCTCCGAGAGGAAGAAAATGTTTAACAAGAAGAGTTTAGGACAAGCTGAAGATAGAAACAATTTGTGCCTCTTGGCTGACTTACCCAAAATCTTGTGAGATCCCGGACTAGCCCCCAAAATGATGCCGGAATTGTCAGGCGTCTCCCAGCCAGGATCGGATTTCAGGCTGCAGGGCAGCAGGGCAGCGCTGAGCCCCAGCCGCTAGACCCCCCACGGGTTGGTGTCTCACGAAGCCCCAGCAGGAACTTCGCAGACGCTCAGGCAAGCAAGCGAGAAGAGGCAGTTTGTTTAGAGAAAGAAAAAGTTTATTGAGGAGAAAAAGAACAGAAATAAAGTGGGACTCCCAGGCCAGGAAACCAGGCCTGGGAGGGGCAAGGAAGCCAAAGTGAAGTCGTGTCTCAGGGAATATAGACTTTCTTTCCCTGATTATTCTAAAGCTCTACCAGTCTCTTTGTGATTGGTCAGTTTTTGGCTCTCTTACTTAATTTGCTACTGAGTGGGGGATCTTCACATTCCTTATCTAACAGGTCTGTCTTTCCCCATTTGTTATATCTTTATTTTTATGGTCTAGCCCTCCCGGTGAGCATCTTTACACTTTATCTTATCATCTGAAGAAAACCAGGACCATCCTTAACAAGATTATCTGTGGTGCTGGGATGTTTGTTTTTCCCAGTGGAATTGGTTTCATTTCCTTGCTCGTCCTTATCTCTGAAGCCTTCCTGAATTCTTTAAAGGTCCCCTCCTGCACTGTCCTAAAACTGTCTAATAACCCTAGCTTGCCCTGTCTCAGTGTTGTAAATCAACATCACTTCGATAAAACATAATCATAACAAATGAAAGTCCCTAGCTCACTTCACAGTGGTTCTCTACAATAATCAACCAGTAAGCTATGGAAAGTTTAAAAACTCAGTAAAGAAAAATAAATAGGGTCAAACATGTATTTTCCACCATTATCAAAGCTTTAAATTATAACCCCAGAATTGGAAGTAACCTCCAGAAACTGGCAAACCTCTTCGTGGCTAGTCAGAGCGGACGTTGACAGCTGCTAGGCTATGCTATTAACTACTCACTTCCACTTGTGGCAGCTGAAATGACAGGATGGGGTGAAATGGAAAGCTTTGGGGACTGTGCCTTGTCTTCATTCTTTCTGTCTTTACTTGAATGGTATTACTTATATTAAATAGTTGATTGAAGAACAAACAGTACACAAATGCTGGGTTTTAAGTATGTCCTTTCAGATAGAGAGGCCAAAGCAGCCTTGCACATAATCTGAAATCAACTGCTCAGACTACAGTCCTACTCTGACACCTGCAATTTCTTCATCAACCAGTTCCAGGTCATCAGCCATCATCTACTACACCTTACCCTTAATTAGAACTTCCTCAGCACCTCTGTTTGATGTAAGGTATAAAGACAATGACCCATTTTATCTCCCTGAAAGCAGGAAATGAATGTTCCATATGAAAGGGGCCTCCCAACACAGAAGGCAGAATTATCAACAGGGGTGGGGATATAAATAAGCAAATAAGGATATAAATAAGCCTTGTTACTTTTTCACCCATTTACTACTACTCCACGCCAAAAGCCCTTTTTCTTGTCAATTCTTTACAAACATACTGTGTTGATTCTTCACAAATGCATTGTTTCTTTATCTACAAGGTAGAAAAGCTTCCTACTCTAGTTGCTTGAGTCTCATAATTTCATGCAGTTTTTTTTTTTTAAAGATTAATTATTTATAAAAGAACTGGGGTACAGGCCAGAGGCGTGGAAGGGTGAGAGAATTCACCAGAGACAGAACAGGTAGCAGAACATACAGACAGACTGAAAACATTGGTGAGGGGAGCAGCAGGTGAGATAAGAGAGGTCTGCCGTGCCATGTGGGAATCCCCCTGGCCAGCCGGAAATCTAACCCTCCATGCAGAGGCTGCAGACAGCTTCACAGTGCTGCGCTCAACCTGCTGCACCACCAGGGAGGCCCTCATGCAGCTCTTGAACATACAAAATTTTATCTGCATTTCCCCTGTTAATCTGTTCTATGTCTATTTTATTACTAGGCTCACTAATGGAGAAAAGGGAAAATGTTCCACCCCTACACTTCCTAAAACCTGTTTCCTCTGACTACAGTGGACCAATTGAGGGGAAAGGAATACTAACCTTGCAGAGCTGGGTTTAAGGTCCTTCTAATGTGCAAGTCTTTGCTCTTTATAGGCTCCAAATTTCGCAGGACGAAAACCAGAATGACAAGTTGATCATTGCTCTTCTACACCCACTGCTTTTCATCACACAAAAGCTTGTTTCTATAGTGATGACTAATATCTTGGAACATAAGGAGAGATGAGAAGCCTGGCATCTCGGCAACACTGCCCTCACAGGCACAGCCCACGCAAGGCTCAGGGCTGGCAGGACACAGGATGACTGTCCTCCCACTTCCTCCATCCTCAGGTCAAATGACAGAGACAAGCCATGGGTTTGCACTCACAGGGAACAGGAGCCCTCCCTGACCGGATTCCCAAGCACAACTGGCCTGAGCCAGCTCAGCAGGGCCTTCAGCATCCTAGTAATCGCTGCTGAGGCAATGATTAGCCATCTTGGGTAGGAAGGGCCTTATGGCACAGAAATTAAAGGTCTGAGGAGCCCTGGCCCTTCCCTTACACTTCTATGTTCTTTTTTCCATAAAGAATTTAAAAATGTCCTATACAGAATCATTTGTCAGAGGACTTGGAGTGAAGGAAGGAGGAAGGAAGGGAGGGAGGGAGGAGCAAAGGGAAAGTGGGAAGGAAAAGGGAAGAGGAAGCGCAAGAAAGCTAGCTGGTTCTTGAGAAAACCTGAACACCATGTGTTCAAAAAAAAATAGAATCCATCAGAGTGAAAATCATATTTGACAACTTCTGACACCAAATCCTTTAACAGATTTCCTTTCCTTTTGCTCTCATCTTAGAAATTTTTCTTCCTCAATCCAAAACTCATGTTACTCATCAAATGAGTATTCCCAATACTGTCATCAATTTTGGGCAAAGTATGTCCCCTTCTACCTTCAGAAATGAAGACAGTAGAGGGAGGGGCCGTATGTTTTCTTCCTAGAAATGGCACAGCAAGGCCAACACTTCAGGCACTCTTCAGAGAAGCACATCTCACTCCCACCTTATGGGTATAAAATGACTTTGTTCTTGTACTCAATACTTCCACCAAGCTGCAAGCCAATCCCAGGATCAGAAAAGCTCCCTCCTTTTCTAAGACAGCTGAAGGAAACACTGCCAACCAGTAATGCAGGCCTCTCCATTCCCGTCACCCACCCCATCCCCACAGATTTGCACAAACTCAGCCCTGCCTTTCTTGACAAGAAATAAGAAATTCTAGCAGCTCTATGGAGATTTCTTGTCCTCTTCATTTCATCCTGTTATGAATCCCACCAGCAGAGAGAGCCACAACATTGAATTAGAAAGAACTTAACCTGCGCCCCATCTCCATGACCTTGGCCAAACCACTTACACTTTTTGAGCCTCATAATGGAGATTACAGAATGTACCTCCACTGACTTCATGGAGACTGACAGAACTAATGTTCATGACAGTGCTTTAAAAAAAAAAAATAATAATGCTGATGTAGATCCTTCTATAAAGCAGGTATATCAGGATTAGTCTACAGAATAAAGTTTGCAATCTGGTGGTGAATCCCAAAAGGCATAATGAGATGATGTGCAATTAAAACAGTCATAACTGGATGAGGGAGAAGGAAGGCTAGCAGAGAATAAAGGTGATCCTATCTGCTCTGCTCACCTACCAAGTTGCACTTTCTATGCTGAAGTCACATACATACACATTCCTCACAAGAAGTCAATCTTAAATTTTATCCCAATCATACTAAATAGACCAATGATTTTAAATCCCCACAGCCATGTAGCCTGAACAAGTAAATGCTACTCTCTCCTCCAAGTTTGGGCTCTTGGCTAAAGGAGGAAATATACTCCCTGGACTAAATCCAGGGAGTCGGGGGTGTCTGTCCTTCATCAGAGCAACAGATGGTACTAGATTCAGACCCAAATGAAAGCGTATCTTCCTGCCTTCTCATTAAATATCTAGAAAAAGTGTATTTATCCATTGTGTATCACCCAACTATAAAATAGGAGATGGGAGGTTGAGATATTCTCATGTTGTCTTCCTGTGATTAAATGAGTAATTCTGTTCATATCAGTTTCTATTGCATTAAAAAACAAAAGTCACAAAAGCGTTGATTTTCAAGTTCAACTGGTCAGTTTTATTAAACTCATCAAATGATAACCCAAGAGGAAAACTAGACAAGCCTCCCAAACACCAGGCCAGGACCAGGCTCACAGGCAGAAGCCTGCATCCCAGCATCCCTCCCAACCTGTCGATAAAAGAGCAGGATTCCATATTCAAGACCCTGAAAGGCCCTAGAAAGAACACTATGAATCTGTGGTATGTTGATGTCTACTATATCATACTTCTTATTCCTAATGTCACAGAAATACTGTTAAAAATTAAAAGTAACTCAGTAGTATCTACTACCCCAAAATGTTTCAAAAGCTGGAAGAGATCCATCACTGATTTATGAGTTTAGTGTTCATGACCAGAATTTTTAAAAAATAAAAGAACATATGAGCTATACCACACACAGTAAAAGCAAAGCACACAAACTTTTTTCCTTAAAACTTTTGTTTCTCAGCCCAAATGCCCAAAAATAGATGACTGGATCAAGAAGATGTGGTACATATACACCATGGAATATTACTCAGCATTCAAAAAAGATAAACACATGCAATTTGCAGCAACATGGATGGCGCTGGAAGGGATCATGCTCAGCGAAATAAGCCAAAAAGAAAAAGAAAAATACCAGATGGTCTCACTCATAGCAGGAATCTAGAAAACTTAAATAAGGGACCAGGAAAATGAATAACCATAAGAAAGTGAAAATCAAAATCAACAAAAAACTATGAACCAGAGGCACTTTTTGGGGGGTGGGGGGCGGGAGGGGAGGGATTGGGGTCAGAATGGGGGGGTTGCAATTGTATGGGGGATATAAAAATAAATAAAATTTATTATTTTTAAAAAAACACTTTTGTTTCTATGTTTACGTATATGTAGCTATCTGCACATACTATTGTGATATCAAATGTATTTTAATTATTTGTATCAAGTTAGCTGTATATTTAACCATGTACAAATACGTGTTTCTCATCATGTAGTCAGAAATAAAATACATTTCTTAAAGCGCTAGGCTGAAGCTTCTTAAGACAAGAAGTTCCCCTTATTGGGGGTCTCCCTGGTGGCACTAGGGGTTAAGAGGTGGCACTATGAAGCTATCTGCAGCCATTGCAGCATGAATTGGATCCCTAGCTAGGGAGGTGGCCCACATGGTACAGCAGACCTCTACGGTCTCATCCACTGCTCTCCTCAGCAGTGTATTTCAGTCAATCCGCCTGTTCTGTTCCCCACTCTGGTAAATTCTCTCACCCTCCCATACCTCTGGCCTGTACCTCAGTTCTCATATGCGTAAATAAATAAATCTTTAAAAAAAAAAGAAGTTCTGGGCCTCACCTGGTGGCGCAGCAGTTTATCGCTGGGCTGCAAACATGCCTGCAGCCTCTGCAGCGCTGGTTCAATCCCAGGCCGCTGGCGAGGGTCCCACATGGCGCTCAGACCTCTCCTGCTGCGCCCGCTGCTCCCCCTCAGCAGTGTGTTTCGTCAGTCTGCCTGTTCTGCTCCCTGCTCTGGCTCTGGTGAATTCTCTCACCCTCCGGTGCTTCTGACTGTACCCAGTGCTTGTATAAATAAATAAATAAATATTTAAAAAAAAAAAAAAGTTCCCCTTATTTATCTTCATATCATGTCCCTCCCCCACCACATCCAGCATGGTGGCTGCACTCAGTAGCT